CCTCCCGGACACACTTCTCAGTCCTGTAGACAATCCTTTCTCACCTCATCAAGGTACATGACCCTCCTTGTGACGAGGGGTCAGTCACCCATCCAGACACACAGAACTGCATCTTGGTCCAGGTCGGGTTTTACCTGCCTCTTCCTGCTGACTTGTGCACTGCCATACAGACTCTTGATTCTAGGACATGCTGTCCCACCCCTGTGCACTGCCATACAGACTCTTGATTCTAGGACATGCTGTCCCACCCCGCAAGGTCCTTATTTGCAAACCATGACAAAGGCAAACTGACAGATGATAAGGAACTCTAAGAGAGAGGGTGGTTACCATAGAGCAGTGGTCCTCACCCTTTCTAATTCTGTGACCCTTTGACATGGTTTCTCATGTTGTGGGGACTCCAGCCATAAAATTATTTAATTGCTACTTCACAACTGTAATTTTGCTGCTGTTATGAATGTAATGTAAATATCTAACATAAACCCCAAAGGGGTTGTGACCCACACAGGTTGAGAACTGCCATCACAGAGGGACTAACTACCAAATGGCTCAAGCTTTCTTTTTTAAAAAAGATGTATTTATTATGTATACAGTGCTCTGCCTGCATGTATGCCTGCAGGCCAGGAGAGGGCACCAGACCTCATTACAGATGGTTGTGAGCCACCATGTGGTTGCTGGGAATTGAACTCAGGACCTCTGGAAGAGCAGTCAGTGCTCTTAACCTCTGAGCCATCTTTCCAGCCCATCTGGCTCAAGCTTTCTAAACAAAAGCAGAAACAAAAAGCCCCATAGTTTGGTACTGGCTGACCAAAAGTGTAAATACAAATAAAGTAAAAGTTTTAAAGAGAAACAAAGAAAAGAAAAATTTCAGAGCAGTGCTGAGATTCAAGACCTCCAGGTTGTCAGCCCCACTCAGCTGCTCCTTAAAGACAGGCTGACCTTGGCAAAGAGCCAGACTCCCAGCAGGCCCAGGGATTTGTTTTAGGGCCTTGGACACCACAGCCCTGGACTCCAGGAGCTGTAGAAGGCGCTGTCATGCTTGGAAGCCGCTCCGTGCCAGGGAAGGGTCAGGGCTCTGAGACAGCTGAGACCATGCCCACCCCTGGAGAGAGCTGATCCTTCAGTCCATCAGTTACAGATCCACAGCCTTGTCCCAGCCTGGGCCTCCTCCAGGACTGCCTGGGTCTAGTTCCACAGTGCCCTTGAAGAGCTCATCCCTGCCTTGAATTTTCGTCCTTGCAGTTGAGGGGAACACAGCAGGCCAGGCTTCAGACCTGAACCTGAAGGCTCTGGCAGAGTCTGCTTCCTGTCTTTGGGGATGTTTGCCCTGGGAACCCGTGGGAACCAGCCACCACACTGTGAAGGCTGAGCAGTCACACATAGAGAAGCCACACAGAGCTGAGGTTCCTGTTGACAGCTGCACTAGCCACCTCATGGGAGTGACAGATGCCCTCAGCCCCAAGCTGTGAGCCAGCCTAGCTTATCTTGCTTTGGAGCAGAGTTGAGCTGACCCCACAGGTACCCCGAGCATCTGCAAGCATAGTAAAGATTCTCACTGTTGCAGGTCACTAAGATCGGCTGTGTTACAGGCAATAGGGATGCGGACCTTTGTCCTTCTCTGGTCTTCCAATATTTCTAGACATATCACCTCTTCATCTTCTCTGCTGCCTCTACCAAATGGCTCACTTTAACATCCTGGTGGGTGTCCTCCCAATTATTTTTATGGTTATAGTCTCGGGCAGTGGTCTGAGAACCTGGCTGTGGTGGTTAATGCCTCCCCACCCCTCACCCCACACACCAGGCAGGGTCTCTCTGTATAGCCCTGGCTGTCCTGGAACTCACTCTGTAGTCCAGATGGGCCTCAAACTCAGAGAACCTCCTCCTTCCTCTGTCCAGTGCTGGGACTAAAGGCATGCGCCACCACACCCAGCTTTGTGGTGGTTAATTTTGATTAAAAAGCATTTAAAGCATTTAGGCCTAGGACATTAGTTAGTTATGCCTTCAGGTGTGTCTGTGAAGTCATTTTCAGAGGGGCCTGGCTGAGAGGGGGAGAGGCTGACTGACTGTGGGTAGCACCATTGTGTGGGTTAGCCTAGGGTCACAGACCGGAGAAAGGGAGAAGAGAGCCAGCTGAGAACCTGTGTTCCCTGTTCTCTGCTTCCGATCCATGAAAATGTGGGCCATGCCTTCCCAGACACAAAGACGGAACCTGCGACCTGTGAGCCTGAATGAACTGATCAGAAATGCAAATCTTCAGGTTGAACTCAGACCTAAGCAACCAGAAACTTGAGGACAGAGCCCAATAGTCTTGAAATAAAAGAGTTTTTAAAGTGCGTATGTGTGCACGTGGGTGTGCATGTGTGTCCATCATGTGGAGATCACAAGACAGCCTAAGGGGGCTGATTTTTTTCCTTCTACCTTGTAGGCTGCAGGGACTGTCAGTCCTCAGGAGATTGGAGGCAAGTGCCTTTACCTGCTGAGCCAAGGTGTCAGCCCCCAGCAGGCAATTCTGATCTGTGTATACAAACAAGACCTACAGCACTCTAAGGCCCAGGACAGATCCCGGACTTTCTCCTCCCAGCCCTTGCTCCTTTCTGGCAGAAGCTTGTGCTGGTGTAGACTGGGGTCTGTGCGCAAGGTCACGGATGAGTCTTGTTCCCACCAGATCCTGGCACAGAGGGTGCAGCACCATTAACAGAAAAATGGTGCTGGGGTTGGAGCCCAGGGCTGTTCGGCTCCACCCACCCATTTGGTGCCATCATTGCACGCCACTGCCAAGCCTTGTGCCCCAAGTACTGTGGGGTGGCTAGAGATGTGGGTTGAGAAGGGTGGCTTGTCAGCCTCTGGTTGATCATTCCACCCTGCCCCTTCTGAGAGAGGAGGTTGAGCAACCTTTTGAGAACGTGGAGGCTGCAAAGCTTAGCTTCGTATCTTCCCCTCCACGGCCCAGGCGGAGCTTTCACCTGGCATCCATCGAGCAGTGGGCCAGGCCTTATTCTCTGAACCTCACGTGCAGGTTCTGAGTCGTATGCTGACCTCCTGATCTGCAAGCTGGGGGCAATGAGGCCCATGGGTTCAGTAACTTGGATGGGTGGAGGGAAGGCCTTAGACACATGCTGGGTGACTGTGGCACTGTGCTTACCAATGATGTCCAGGAGAACATTCAGATGAGTGTCCTTGGCAGGAGACAAGGAGGGCAGCCCCATAGTGGATGGGGGCCCGACAAGGTAGAGGGCCTCAAGGTGCCAAGCCCTCCAAATTCTCATGACAAATCAGGAGTGTGGCTTTTTTTTTTGTTTGTTTTGTTTTTTGTTTTTTGTTTTTTTGAGACAGGGTGTCTCTGTGTAGCTTTGCGCCTTTCCTGGATCTCACTCTGTAGCCCAGGCTGGCCTCGAACTCACAGAGATCCATCTGGCTCTGCCTCCCGAGTGCTGGGATTAAAGGCATGTGCCACCATTGCCCGGCATGAGTGTGGCTTTTAATAAAAAGCCTACCAGTCTTTAAACATTAGCAAATGGCTACCCTTTTGTTTTGTTGAGGTGGGCTCTCTTATAACTCAGACAGCCTCAAACTCCCTCAGTACCTGAAAGACTGGCCTTGATCTCCTGATCCCCCTCTTCTACCACCCAGGTGCTAAGATTATGGGCATGTGCTACCTCCTTCAGTGACTGACTGCTTTAAAAACTCAGCTGCTTCTAGAGCCAGATAAATGACACTGGATGAAACTGAAGGTGTACATGGAAGGGGTGTGTGTGTGTGTGTGTGTGTGTGTGTGTGTGTGTGTGGTTGGCCCTGTGTGGTGCCATGGGTTCCACTGTAGAGAGAGCATGGGCAAGCTCAGCAGCCTTGTCATGGATGCAGTGACCTATGAAGATGTACATATCAACTTCACGTGTGAAGAGTGGGCTTTGCTGGGTCCTACCCAGAAGAGTCTCTACAAAGATGTGACGCTGGAGACCTACAGTAGCCTTACTACTATAGGCATAAAAGAAGTCATACTGAAGGCAAACCCTATGAATGTAGTCAATGTGGTAAAGCCTTTTCACATCAGAGTCATCTCTACATTCATAAAAGAATCCATACTGGAGAGAAACCCAACGAATGTAATCAGTGTGGAAAAGCCTTTTCACAATGGAGTCAGCTCCACGTTTATAAAAGAACCCACACTGGAGCGAATACCCGCTACCGTGTGTGTGTGTGTGTGTGTGTGTGTGTGTGTGTGTGTGTGTGTGTATGTGTGTGTGTATGTGTGTGTGTGTATCTGTGTGTGCGTGTATGTGTGTACGTGTGTGAGTGTGTGTATCTGTGTGAGTGTGTGTATCTGTGTGTATGTGTGTGTGTGTAAGTGTGTGTGTGTGTGTGTGTGTGTGTGTGAATGTTGCTTCCTCTGTCATCCGTAGAACAACCTGCTTCAAAGTCAGGTTTCCCTCAGTAGGTCTCAAATACCCTAAGAGCAAACCCCAAATGCTGACTCTTACTTTCAATTCTCCGAGTATCCCCACTGCCTGAGGGTGGGCTTTTCTGGTCACAGCTGTGCAGGGTGATGAGCACTTACCTTCTAACTGAAGGAGTCTGGTAAATCCCTATCCCAACCCACCCCGCCCCCACCCCACAAACTCCTCCATCCACCTGTCGGCCCAGGTGGGACTGGGTTCTCTGGTGGGCTAAAAGCAAGGCCCTGTGGGCCTCTCCTCTTAGTTGTTGGTGGAGCCTTGTCATGGCCACTGCGGACGCTGTGAGTCTACCTACCTGCCTATCCCAGAGCCATTGACTAGCTGGGGTGAAGAAAATAGGGACAGGGGTCAGCTAGAACCAGCCTTACAGATCACAGTTTGTTTTTTGTTTTTGTTTTTTAATTTTCCAGGCAGGGTTTCTCCATGTAGCCCTGGCTGTCCTGGAACTCACCGAGATCCACCTGTCTCTGCCTCCCGAGTGCTGGGATTGAAGGGGTGCGCCACCACCGCCCCAGCTCTGGCTCACTCCCTATTCTTTTCTCTGGTCAGATAGTCAAAGCTGAGGGTGGAGAGTACAGGAGGAAGGAGGTGGAGGAAGAAAACTCACCAGAAGCGGCTGTGGCGGTCCTGTCGGGAGGAGAAGCCAGAGACCTCCCTGGAGCCCTTCAGACCCTGAGGAGGAAGGCTGACAGAGAATGTCCACTCGAGGTCCTGAGAGAACAGCATCCCCTGCAGTACAGGTAGGGAGGCCACAGGGACACGGCCCTGTGTAAGGCCAGGGTCTGTGCCCCTTGAGCTGCCCGAGACCCTTGGGTCCTGCCTCCTACTCAGTGGACTTTTAAAAAACGTATGTATGTATGTATGTATGTATGTATGTATGTATGTATGTATGTATGTATATGAGTGCTCTATCTTCCTGTAGGTCTGCATGACAGAAGAGGGCATCAGATCCCATTACAGATGGTTGTGAGCCTCCTTGTGGGTGCTGGGACTCGAGCTCAGGACCTCTGGAAGGGCAGCCAGTGCTCTTAACCACTGAGCCGCCTCTCCAGCTCTCGCTGGACTTCAATACCCTCTCACCCAGCCTGCAGGGATAACTAGCTTCCATGCTTTGGGGGCTATGTCTCAGATCTCACCTCCTACTTCACAAGCATGTTAACCAGGTGTGCAGAGGTGTCTGTCATGTGGGTCTTGACCCTCCTCTCGCCTCATTCCCAGGTGGGGTCTGTGGTTCTTCAGGAATGACCGAAGCCGGGCCTGGCAGGACAACCTGCAGCTAGTCACCAAGTTGAACACTGTGGAGGACTTCTGGGCGTGAGTGTCTGCCCTCAGGGGCTCGGAGCTGTGGGTCAAAGGCATCATAGCCTGCCACCTTCTCAGGGGTTTGTCAACATTTGCTGGAGCTGGGGGTTGGTAGTTTCTGGCCACACCCTCCCAACCCTCCCTCTCCCGCAAAGCTCCTCAGGCCAGGGAGAGGCAGGAGTGAACCCCACTACTCTGTACCTTTGTGACCCTGACCGGGTTCCTTTCTCTCTGGAAAGCTGGCTCAGCCACAGTAAGGATTAGGCTGCTGCTTTAGCATTTATGTGCTAGAGAAGAGAGCCAAGAAAGGCCACACAAACCCAAGAAGGAGGCCCAGCTGGAATGCCCTACTGGAGTGGACTTGATCAGGCTTTCTTAGTTGGGTCAGGTTCCTAGAGAAGGGATTCCAGGCAGCAGGGCCCAGGTGGAGCGTGGAGGGGGTGGGGAGGCCCTGAAAGGAAGCAGGTGGTGGGAAGGCAGGTGTGGTGAGGATTTGGCAAATCAGGGTCAGGTGAACCAAGGGCTGCAAAGCCTTGAACTCTGGGTGGGGTCTTTCCAGGACGTACAGCCACATCAAGTTGGCCAGTAAGCTCTCCTCTGGCTGTGACTACGCTCTGTTCAAGGTAGGCTCTGCTCAAGGGACTGATTCCAGGGCTTTCCCCTCACGGATGGCTGGTTTGTGGGCAGCTATGGATGCTTGAGTCTGGAGGGAAGAGGGTCTCAAGGCTCTTTGGGCCTGCCTTCTAAACTAGCGTGAGCATCAAAGTTGTGTGTCCCGGGGTTTGGGAGCACTCCTTGTCATGTCCAGTCTCATCTTGGAGGCACTACCATCAGCATTTAGAGGTTTCTCTGGGTGTCTTCTGCCCAGTAAGGTTTGGGGACCACACAGCCAAGCCTGGGATGTCTACCCTAGCCCACAGAAATTCTGACCCAGAGGCACCCTGTTCAGTAAAGGTGACGAGCCCACAGACAAGTTTGCAAAAGGTGGCAATGTGAGGCTCAGTGGCTTGTGGTGTTTTGGAAGGGGCCCGTGTTGGAGGCTGAGAGACTGGAGGCAGGCTCTGCTTGTCAGAGGGCATGTAGGTAAGAAGCAGGCCCAGTTAAGGCCTGGGTACAGAGCAGACAAGGCGCTGGGCAGAGGGGGCTTGGCGCCCACTTCCTTTTAAACCAAGGGAGGCCGTCGACCTGCCACTCCTCACAGGATGGCATCCAGCCCATGTGGGAGGACAACAGGAACAAGCGGGGTGGCCGCTGGCTGCTCAGTCTCGCCAAACAACAGCGCCACATTGAACTGGACCGTCTGTGGCTGGAGACGGTGAGTGGCGGCGGCGGCGGGAAGGGTGCAGGTGTGGGCCGTCAGGAGGGGGGTGGCCTCAAAGCTGGTGGGGTGGACCCTGCATCCAGGCTGGAACACCTGCCGTTCCCCTTCTGGGTCCAGTTGCTGTGTCTGCTTGGGGAGAGTTTTGAAGAGCACAGCAAGGAGGTGTGTGGGGCTGTGGTCAACATCCGCGCCAAGGGAGACAAGATCGCCGTGTGGACGAGTGAGGCGGAGAACCAGGCGGGAGTGATGCACATCGGGTGCGTCCCCTCTGCATGGGTTTTGGGGGCTGGGTGGGTGGTGGCCTGGCCTGCAAGGGAGACCTCTGGAACCCTCCGCGCTGGCTCTCCCTTAATCCTTACCCACTTGGATCAAAGGAGTTGGAATGGAGATTCAAACCACTTTAACTAAAGAAGCTTTCATTTTCACGGAAGGGTTCTGTGGGTGCTGGTCTTGGCTGTGAGTAAGCCAGGTAAAACAGGGGAGACTGTGGCACCTGAATGACAGAGCTGGGTCTAGATTACATCTGCCATCTTTCCCCGTCTCCTACTCCAGGCACGTGTACAAGGAGCGTCTGGGCCTCTCTACGAAGACTATCATTGGGTACCAGGCCCACACAGACACTGCTGCTAAGAGCAATTCCTTAGCCAAGAACAAGTTTGTGGTGTGAGGTAGACTTCAGCCACCACTCACGGGACGCCCTCTTACTGCTGTTTGGTGCACAGGGAAGACTAAACTGTGGGTCCTGGGGCCGACAGCTTGGCTCTTTACCTGTCTTGGAACACACATAAGCACCCTCACCCCTTAGATAAGGTCTCACTATGTTGCCCAGGTTAACTTCGTATTTTTTTTTTTTTTGCCTTAAGACATCCTCCTGCTCCAGACTAAATAACTGGGATTACAGGAGCTCACCATTGTGTCTGGATTCATGATAGTTTTCTTCAACATTTGTTGGCCCAGTCCTTGTGGCAGCTGGCCAATACTTATAAACCACACTCGATCCCTAGCTCTGTGTGTGGCCATTTGGCAAAGGCAGGGTGTAGCCAAGTCCTGGCTCAACCCCGCCAAATGAGGACAGGAGAATCCCGTGGCCAACACTTCTCTGTGCCTGCCTGGGAAGAGGACCGGGTGGCTCGAGGCACGCTCTTCTGCTTGGGAGATGTTAAGAGTAGTTCAGTTCTTTGTAAGCACAAAAACTTATGGGTTACCCCTCACCAGATCTGTAGTTTGGGTGCCCATCCTAAACCCTGTCCCTTCCCTAGACCAGCTGTGACTTGGTCCTAGGATCGACCGCCCTCCCTACCCACCATACCCCAAGTCCTGGAGTAGGTTAGAGGGAAAACATGGAGATTTGTAAAGACGGGTGAGCTCTGGGGACCGAGAAAGCCTGCACAGTCCTATCAAGACAGGATGAGGGTCCCGTGGGTTCTGTGTCTCCTGCCTTAGGGCGGGCTGAAGTACATCAGTGGATACACCATAGCACCGTGAAGAAATTACTGATGATGGTTGCATCTCACCATGGTTTTGTTAGAAGGGGTCTACTTGAGGCTAATGATGCTTAGGCCCTTTTTGTATCTGTTCTACATAAATACTTTGGAATAAACGTGGAGTCTAAATATTTAAGATCTAGGCTTCCCTAAATCTAGATCTGTCCTGTCCTGCTTCAAAAGGACTCCAGTGAGTCCCAGGTACCGAGGAAACCGGGGAAAGCCCTACTTGCTATGGGAAGGGACTATGATAGAAATAGGCAAAATGGAACAGGCATGGCATTCCAGCCCCAGGTCTTGATGTGATCATATTCAACTCCACAGTTTTAGATGCTTGGCAGTGTCCATTGGTCCCACCATCCCCAGCCGCTCATCCCTGGGGATGGACTCCACTGTTCTGAGCCTCAGACTGGAGGTCCAGGGTCTTCACACTGGGCTCACCAGCGCTGATGGCTGGCTCATCTGGAGCCTCTGGAGGCATGGAGGCGTTTGGCTGCAATGGCAGGCGGGAGGGAGATGAAGAGTGGGGGCTCCTCAGAGGTGGGGTTGGTCTGGCTGAAGGTGTAGCCAGAGCATGGCCTAGGAACGGTCTTGGGGAGGAGTGAGGGGGGCGGGGAGGGGACGAAGTCTGGGGCGTGGCTCTAAGGAGGAGGAGGAGCGTGGCTCAGAACTGAGGCTGACTAGGGTGGAGCTCCAGAAGGACGGAGGTCGATTGGGGGCGGAGTCTGGGCGGATCAGAGGCGGGACCCGGTTTAGAGGCGGGGCTCAGGGAGAGCAGCGGCTGGCTAGGGGCAGTCTTGGGCGGGGCATGGGCGGGGCTCCGGGAGGACAGACCCTGGCTGGGGCGGGGCGTGGGCGGAGCTCCGTGAAGACCGAGCCCTGCTGGGGCGGGGCGTGGGCGGAGCTCCGGGAGGACCGAGCCCTGCTGGGGCGGGGCGTGGGCGGGGCTCCAGGAGGACCGAGCCCTGCTGGGGCGGGGCGTGGGCGGAGCTCCGGGAGGAC